CAAGATCATCTGTTTTCCTGTAAGAAACTTATCTTGTGAGATTTTTTTTCCTACAAGATAATTATCTAGTGTGTGCCAGATTTTTTTTTTTTCAATGTCAGCTTACTGGACTTTACGGGCTCTGTACTATGGTGCATCATAAGTGTTGTGTCTCTGTTGTGTGAAATGTTTGCAGAGTGTACGATAAAAGGAGATGTAAGGATAAAAGCAAAAAACATTGGATGCTTAACCATATTAGATTAAAAAATATTACCTACCATCTTCTTGATTGCATCAGAAATGAATATAAAAGAAATGAGGCTGGAGAAACCCTCCTCCGTGAATCGGGTCATATATTTGATGATGTAGCTAGCATCTGAAAAAACCAGTAAAAAACACTGCAGACACGAGTGAAGGCCAATCCACAGACGAAGCTCCATATAGTCCACATCATTGTTTCTGTATTGACAATGATATAAGGTAGAGATGTTTATGTTAGACTTTTTTTTTAATATAGAATTCAACTGTGTTCTAGTGCATCTTACTTGCTGAACTCATAAAGCAGTTTTTCAAAGATGAGAATGGGCCCAGTTGAACTCAAAATGATGAGAGGCTGTCCTCCAAACAAGCAAAAGACACTTCCTGCTAAAGCAGTGCCAAGAAAACTCTCCATCACTCCCTATGAGAAAAATAGGGAACAGATAATAATATGTCCAGTTTTGTGCTATGTGCTATGTATTGCTTTGCAGCTCTCTGACCTGGTAATTGTCAGTAGCATCCCCTAGTAGTCCTCCAAAGGTGATAGCATTGGTGATGCAGCCTAGGTAGATGAATAGCACAGCAGAGATGGACTGGATATGGAAACCATCATAAATATCACTGCAATACCATGGGATCTTCCTTTTGATATCCAGCCATAATCCACCACCAATCCTGTTTAAACAGAGTAGGGTGCTCATTTAGAAATGCAGAATTAAACATACTTTAACTGGAGTGGTATAATCCTTTTCAGTTATATACCTCCCAGTGAATTTCAGCTCCTCTCCCAACTCATGTGGGGCTGGAAGCTCCTCATCTTCACCTCCAGCTGCTCCGCCAGCTAAACCATTCACCTGACCCAGCTCATTCAAGTTCAGCACTGATTTTCTGGGATAAATGCGATAGAGGAAGCAGGTTTTAATTCAACTCTGGAATGTTAAATCTCCAGTTTTGACATACTGTCATTATACATATTATTTTTTTAAAGTCCATTATGGTTTTTAATGTACAAATAATAAAGCTGCTTTATCTAAAGAAAGAGCTTTGAGAGAGCATGAAGAAGTGGACATTCCTAACATGCACCAGATCACTGGCACCCAATCTAGGATTAGGGGTATTGTTTGGACTGGTTAGCAACCGTCCTATTTGGCATTTAGCTAAAATAAAACCCAACAGTAATATATCTGAGATCAAAATTAAAACGTTATTAAAAGCACATGCCTCATTTCTGCAGATGGAACCTTTTTGGGTGGTTCAATACGGATCTTGGGGTCCCATTCTCCTGGAGGAAGGACAATCACTTCATCCAGAAACTCATCAACACCTGCAATCAAGTCTTCACGGTCCCTTGCCTTATAGGCAACATCGCTAAACAACTGAAAAAAAGAAAAAGAGATAACTCATAAAATATTTTTGATGCATGCATATCCTGTTGGGTTAGTGCTAGTCACTTACATCATCCACCATGAGTGTAGCAATGGCTCTGCCAATCTCGTTGTAGGATTTGGTTTTGCCATGAGGACCCAGAAGAATGAAGAGAAATCTGCCAGAGGGGGAACAGAGGGGGGAAATGTTGATAAATTGATCAATTCAAAGACACACCCAGCTGACAGTGAAGCTGAAAGGACCTACCTGGTTGGTACAGGAACTTCAGTAAGCCCCCCCAGAGTTGTAGCTTGAGCCAAGCGTACAAAGGAGACAAAGGGTTTATCCAGAAAATCAACTTCACCAATCAGGACATTGGATGCTTCAGCATCACGAGGTATCTTCTTCATGAACTTATTCTTAAGCTGTCAAACGAAAGAATAATGCAAAGAAATGAAACCTTTGGGATAAATGCAGGAGTGTAATTTGTGTTTCAACATAGCTGACATTTTATAGTTGCTTATGCATATCATAATCAGCTTGCTTAATCATGTCTGTCAGTAGCTAATCAGGTCGCATGAGCTAAGTTAAACAAAATGCAACAGCAGCTGGACAACAACAAAGCTCAAAAAACGTTCTTATTGACTTCTTTTTTATTGAGGGAACTCCTCAGTAAACCATTTTGGCAGATAGTGTCCTGTGGTCCTCCTGCAATGATATTTCTTGGGACAGATTTGAACAAGTAATATGATAATATGGTACACAGATGTAAACATTCAGGATCTATAGAGGCTGAGTCCTAGAGTTTCCTCTATCCCCTTGAGCATTTACCATTTTCACTTGAGACAACACCAATAAGAAGATGATGATGGAGAATGAAAAGTACTTTATCTGTCCCAAATGTTGGAAAATAACAATGTTACAGCACCAAAGAAAAAAAATCAAAAATCAACTTAGCTCAAAAAAATTAATAATATCACAAAATAAAAATAGCTCAGGGAAGTAGAAAAAACACTACAGAAGGAGCTCAACTGAACAAAATACAAAAAAGTGAAGCATTAAATCAAAATCTAAATATAATACAATAAGGAGCTTAAAATAAATGCAGAAATTTTGGTATGAGATTGTAAAACCTTCTCTATCTGGCCTTGTGACAGCATTGTGGATACATAAAATTTGGACTTTATATGGATACAGAGGATAGTCAGAATCCACTGATAAAATCATCCACAGCCATTCACCACAGCCACACTCATTTGGATTACTTCTGCATCAGCTGATGAAGGAATTCTAAACTGTGTGTTGGCTTAAACTAAATTCCACCAGCAGCAGCATTGAAAAGTTTCTTGGGAAGTAACATAGATGCATTGCCATGGCTAATAGTTAAAATTAAGAGAAGCTTTCCTTCAGAGTAACGTGTCCTGAACTAGACCAGATTTAGACTGGTATAACCCCTTCACATTTCTATAGCAAGCGCATAAAATTAAACTCACCGTGGTCCTAATTAGCTAACAGAATTCATGCGTATTACTGTTCGAGTGCCTCACATTCCCTATGATGATCGCTGGAACAGCTCCAGCACTGAAACCCTGTTGTTTACTCTTCTTTCTCTGTGATTACAGTAGTTTATTCTAAAGCAGAAACACTTGGTCTTGGAATGATGTTGCTTAAACTAAAATCTCTTCATAATCTGCTAATGCTGCTCCTAACTTCTTGACACTAAGAAACTATAAACGACACATTTCAAAGCCAGGTCACACATTCCAGAGTTTTAGTTGCCTTTGGCAGTCATACTGTACACAGTTCACTTATTATTCTCCTTCTTTCAGTTGTTATGGTGTTGTAGAGGGGTTTGGTTAAGCTCAGCTGCAGGAGGTAATATTAGTTTGAGTCATTCAGGGAAAAGGTCAGAGAAAGGGAGTCTAGTTAGTACATGTGGTTTGTCTGGCCTAATCACGCTCTAGTTGTGCAGTAGTGTACTGGAATGCACAGCCTTAAGAAAGACACACAGAAAGGTAGCAAAAACATGACTTGTCTGCTTCATCTGAGCAAAACAGCCAAGTTAAACTTGTAGTTACTTTACCTGAGCTTCTACAGGCTGGGTGTCTTAAAACGTGCATAGCCTGCCTTATTTTCTTGTTGTTTCAATAACTATGTTATCTCTGACAATTCTTGAGTACACTCTGCTTTGTCCTAAACAGAAAGCATGCCCAGCAGACACATCTGTACCAGTGCTGACATGTGGAAATATCTCTTATATTAAGTAGCCACACTTTGCTTTGTTGACAGTGCTACAAACCCTTTGCCTTCTCTCAATGAGCTTCATGATGTAGTCACCTGAAATGGTTTTCATTTTACAGGGTTGCCTTGTCAGGGTTCAGAATCAAAATCATGAATCAGAATCAACTGTAATGCACAGAATTATGTGGGTTACAGTTGCTCCAAGACAATAACAGTAACAGACTAAATTGATTAAATAATACAATATATTACAAAGTTTACAAAATATAAGAGATAGCTCTAATATACAGGGAGTGCAGAATTATTAGGCAAATGAGTATTTTGTCCACATCATCCTCTTCATGCATGTTGTCTTACTCCAAGCTGTATAGGCTCGAAAGCCTACTACCAATTAAGCATATTAGGTGATGTGCATCTCTGTAATGAGAAGGGGTGTGGTCTAATGACATCAACACCCTATATCAGGTGTGCATAATTATTAGGCAACGTCCTTTCCTTTGGCAAAATGGGTCAAAAGAAGGACTTGACAGGCTCAGAAAAGTCAAAAATAGTGAGATATCTTGCAGAGGGATGCAGCAGTCTCAAAATTGCAAAGCTTCTGAAGCGTGATCATCGAACAATCAAGCGTTTCATTCAAAATAGTCAACAGGGTCGCAAGAAGCGTGTGGAAAAACCAAGGCGCAAAATAACTGCCCATGAACTGAGAAAAGTCAAGCGTGCAGCTGCCAAGATGCCACTTGCCACCAGTTTGGCCATATTTCAGAGCTGCAACATCACTGGAGTGCCCAAAAGCACAAGGTGTGCAATACTCAGAGACATGGCCAAGGTAAGAAAGGCTGAAAGACGACCACCACTGAACAAGACACACAAGCTGAAACTCAAGACTGGGCCAAGAAATATCTCAAGACTGGTTTTTCTAAGGTTTTATGGACTGATGAAATGAGAGTGAGTCTTGATGGGCCAGATGGATGGGCCCGTGGCTGGATTGGTAAAGGGCAGAGAGCTCCAGTCCGACTCAGACGCCAGCAAGGTGGAGGTGGAGTACTGGTTTGGGCTGGTATCATCAAAGATGAGCTTGTGGGGCCTTTTCGGTTGAGGATGGAGTCAAGCTCAACTCCCAGTCCTACTGCCAGTTTCTGGAAGACACCTTCTTCAAGCAGTGGTACAGGAAGAAGTCTGCATCCTTCAAGAAAAACATGATTTTCATGCAGGACAATGCTCCATCACACGCGTCCAAGTACTCCACAGCGTGGCTGGCAAGAAAGGGTATAAAAGAAGAAAAACTAATGACATGGCCTCCTTGTTCACCTGATCTGAACCCCATTGAGAACCTGTGGTCCATCATCAAATGTGAGATTTACAAGGAGGGAAAACAGTACACCTCTCTGAACAGTGTCTGGGAGGCTGTGGTTGCTGCTGCACGCAATGTTGATGGTGAACAGATCAAAACACTGACAGAATCCATGGATGGCAGGCTTTTGAGTGTCCTTGCAAAGAAAGGTGGCTATATTGGTCGCTGATTTGTTTTTGTTTTGTTTTTGAATGTCAGAAATGTATATTTGTGAATGTGGAGATGTTATATTGGTGTCACTGGTAAAAATAAATAATTGAAATGGGTATATATTTGTTTTTTGTTAAGTTGCCTAATAATTATGCACAGTAATAGTCACCTGCACACACAGATATCCCCCTAAAATAGCTAAAACTAAAAACAAACTAAAAACTACTTCCAAAAACATTCAGCTTTGATATTAATGAGTTTTTTGGGTTCATTGAGAACATGGTTGTTGTTCAATAATAAAATTATTCCTCAAAAATACAACTTGCCTAATAATTCTGCACTCACTGTATATACAAGCAGCTCAATTTAAATATCAAGAATATTACAGAGGTGAAATATATATTATTGACATTTAACTCTAACCTGTTTCATTTTACTGTAGCGCATGTGCAAAAGGGTGTAACTACTGCAGTGCGTGCTGTGCATTAGATGGCGGAGATGTACAGGGAGATAGCCACAGGCAGGAATGACTTCCTGTGTCATTCAGTGGTGCATTTGGGTAATCTCAGTTTCTCACCGAATGTGCTCCTGTGACTGGCCAGCACGTCATGGAGTAGGTGGGAGGTATTATCCAGCATTGTCCTTATTGAACAACATCATGGATTGGACAACAGCCGCCTCTCCAACACCACCCTAAGGGAGTACAGCTCTGTCCCCACAACATTACTGGCCTTGCGAATCAGTTTATTGAGTGTGTTGCTGTCTGCGACCCGTAACTTGCTGCTCCATCATGCAATAGCATAGAGGATGGAAGTGTCCACAACAGACTCTTAAACAATCCTGAGCATTGTCCGACAGATGTTGATGCCTTTGGCCCTTCCTGTAGAGTGCATATGTGTTTTTACCCCAGTCCATTTTATTTTCTATGTGTACTCCGAGGTATTTATAGTCGTGTACAATGTCCACATCGACCCCCTAGATTGAAACAGAGGTCAAGGGTTTCCTTGTCCTCCTAAAGTCCACAATCAATTCTTTGGTCTTTGTCACTTAGCAGTCAATCACAGCTCGGTATTCCATCTCACCACCCTCACTAATGACCGCTATTGTGGGGACTCAACCTGTCTGGGCCAGAAGACCCACCTGAGCGGAGTCTTCCTGTTTGTCTCTGAACCCGGTCATGAGTGATAAGTGAATACAGGAGGCTGGACACCACAGCTGTTTCTATTTTTTCTCCCTATTTCAGTAATATGTCAGGTACTGAGGAGGCATGTGTGGAGGATACAGAGTACAGAGCACAAGTGAGGCAACACGGCTTCTGAGCAGCTGAAAAGCTACCCCTAGATAACATGCATGGACTGAAGCAGTAAATAAAATATTGTTGTGTATGGGTCTTGCATTCACACTTAGTATTTATATTTTAGGCTCTTAGTTTGGTTATATAGTTTTCAGATTGGTTTTGTTCTTTAATTTTTTTCTATCATGCTCCCCTGTGTTGCCTGTGCCTTCTTGTGTAGTCAGTCTTGTCTCTGTGGTTGTTTCCCTTTCTGTGTGTCAAGGTTGCCTCTCTGCATTCTATACTTCCAGTCTTATTTTGCCAGTGCCTTGTTTTGTGTACCTTGTGTTCGGTTAAAATCTGTTACTTTCTATGTTCCCTTCCTCCTTTGTCAGTTCCCTTCTGTTTAGTCTATTCATGTTAATATGTTCTCTTTTATTTCCCTTTCCACTTCCTTTGACTATTTCCTGTCTTTCGGCTTTTTATGTCTCCTTGTGCAGCCAGTGGTGTCTCTCTTTACCTTTCGTCTATGTCAAGTTTGTGTGTTTTTGTCTCTGTTTCAGTGGTTACGCTTCTGTTTTATTTTGGGGGCCGGTGTGTCCTGTGCATTATATGCAGTTATGCCTCACCTGTTACTCCTAATCACCCTGCTATGTGTATCTGTTGTCTGAGTCTCTCTTTGTCCCTGGTGTCTCCTGGTTCACACCCAGTTTTGTAATTTGACGTTATATATTTCTTCTGTTCTTCGTGTTTTGTATTTTATACCATGTTGTCGGCCAAATTAACAGCTCACTTTTTGTTAAACTATCTCTGCATTAGGGTCTTCTCACTCTTGGCACCCTACCCGTGACAACAGGTTTCAAGCCTAAATGTCCATCAGTTTGTTACTTGTTAATTTGGGTTCTTGAGTAGCTTTGTGTTGGATTCCTGTCTGTGTAGATCAGGTATTTCCAACTCCAGTCCTCTTAGTTTAATACTTTTCTTTGCTGATAAAAATGCTACCTCTCTTTCTAAGCTCTATGGCAGCCTTATTTCTCAATATAACACCTATCATGTTGGAACTCATTAGATTTAAATGCCTATGATCACCAGCTGCTCTGGGTAATGTTGGTTTCAGCTAAGCAGAGTGTAAAATAGCCTTTGTTTTCAAGCTTTTCAATTGAAAAGAAAAAAAGTTGCCTGCTGTAACTCAACAACACACCAAGGATGGGTTAAAGCTAAATGGCACTCTACAACTCTTTATAAACCTCATGCAGGTTCACGAATTTTGAATTTGTAAATGACCAAATTATATGAGCTTAGTGTTAGTTCAGAAGGACATAATGCCAAGTTTCCACAATCTCGGCTGGCATCCATTTGGCTGTAGCATGCCTACAATTGCTGTGCCCTTGCAAGCACCTCCTCCTTAGCTCTCCTATTTCAGATTTAATATCGTATTCTTATCACCAATGCCTTCTCTGTTCTGCCATACTTTGCATATAATCAGCTCCTCCCACCTGACCTCCTTAAAAACAGTCATTTATTATGCAATGGATTTATTTAACGAAAGTATCCAAAACTTGGAGTTATAGGCTCCTTAAAGTACAACAGTGGGTCAAAAAGCTTTTTCAGATTGTTTCCATATTTGAATGATTTTATATAGAATGACCCTGATGTATAGCATGAACAAACATGTAAGACAGCGGTCCCCAACCTTTTTTGTGCCACGGACCGGTTCATGCCCGACAATATTTTCACGGACCAGCCTTTAATGTGTCGTGGATAAATACAACAAAATAAAACTAGTACCGCTACCGAAAAAAAGAAGATTTATTCATAACACACGTGAAAAGACCCAGGAAAACCGAGTTAACGATAAAAACGATAACAAAATAACGCTGAAAACCGATAAAAACCCTGAAAACCATACATTTCACACCTGAGCCTCAACTCTCGCGGCCCGGTACCAAACGACTCACGGACCGGTACCGGTCCGAGGCCCGGGGGTTGGGGACCGCTGATGTAAGAGACACATGTAGATAAAAAATAGAGAGTAGCACACATGTAAAATATTGAAAAATAAGTTACCTGATCAGTGCTTGGTGTGTCTGAAATATCATTCATGCTTCTACTCTGAGCATGATCTGTAAATGGAGCAAATGAGACCTTTTGGATTAGATAAAAATAAAAGGAAAATAGGTTTTAATGCTTGAGTGATGTTCCCATCAAGAACATTTTGTTTCATTTAGTGAAAATTGTAAATAAACCCCAATAAATGGTCCTTTGAGCAACAGAAAGAGCATGAACTTAATCATGAACAGCCTTTTCTGTTGGGGATTATATTTTAATTATTTGCTTCTCTTTTTTCCCCACGGAGATTTGGGAACAAATACAATCAAAGCAAAATAATAAGAACATTCTACACAAATCCTTTACTAATCCCTTTCACGCAGATGGCTGCACATAAGAAATCAGCAAAGGTGCACACAATAGGACCAATAATCTCTCAAGTAAACACACTTTATGCTTAACACATTTCACATATATACACACACACAAAGCCATCACAGGTGTTGAAATCATGCAACAGCTGGGAGTTGGCTGGGATCATTTTTCTCATCAAAAAAAAGATGAAAAGCATAGATATTAAGAAAGGAAGAGCTAAGAATTTAAAATCTGGCCACCAACTGGAAATACTAACAAGTTCTCAGTACTTGAATTTCATGGTGTACTAATACACCAATGAGAACCTATTTAGAAGTAAAAGTCAATCTTGTAAACTTATCCTTGTGTAGTGGTGCATGTATTACATGTGTGTGTTTGTGTGACTCACGCAGGCGGCCAAGGCTGCTTGACTGCCGAGAACGTAGGTCTTCTGTGGAGCGGTGGATCCCAGAAGCTGAACTAGTGCTACGACTCAGATTAACCTGAGGACTACGGCCTGACAGAGCAGCAGCAACAGCAGTGATTTTGTGAGGGAAGGTGAAACAGGTAGTGAGCAACATGGTGGAGAAAACAAAGGTTGTCAGGAGTTGATTAGAAGGTTAGATCACTTTCTTTCATAACTACTAATTGGTACATAAAAAGGCATACACACAGAATACACATGCTTACTAGACGCAGTATTGGATGATTTTCCCATGTCTGCCAGAGAGCGGTGGATTGGCTTCTTGGTCTGATGACGATGCTTCCTGAGCAACACAAATATAATCTTCTCCTTAAGATCAGGAGGAATGAGACCATCAGTTATCTGTTGTTCCACAATCTCCTCTGAAACAGAAAGATTCCAGCCCAGTTAATATGTTAACATTATACTCACATCTTCTCATCAATTTGGTATATCCAAATGGAAGCCTTATCACTGCTTATCACTCTTATAACTTATTTAAAATTCAACATAATCCACTTTCTGAATCCATACTTTTTAGTGTGTGACAAATTGAAACCATTTAACTGTCTGCCAGTTACCTGGTGAATGTTAAGAGGTGAAATGTATATACAAATACATGAAGCGTGGCGATTGTGGACATTCCCTTTTAACCCCTTGTAAGACAGTATTTTTCAAGACCACTGAATTCTAACTTACTTAGTTATCAAATGTACATAAATAGAGAAGATAAATCTGATAACTAGTGTGACTGAGGGGGCTTGGGTTTGACCACAAGGCCACCCGGCCAAACATGGGATCAATATCAATATCTTAAAGACTGAGAAGCAGTTAGAGCTTGGCAAGTCTCATCCCTGGCTCCATCTAAGCGCTGTTTGCCTAGTGGGTAATACTCAAAGAATCAGAGACTCTTTAAACAGGGAGTCAGTTCCAGACTTCCCTGTATTCGGGGTGCCTGGTCAAAAATTCAACATTTGGTGCCATTACCCAGATCCAGATCAGAGACCTTTCAACATTATGTCCCAGAAATGTGGTAGACAACAGCTACAGCCAAGAGAAGGTATACAGCCAACCGGATGTCAACCCAAAAATCCAGCTGGGGAAATCACTGCTACAGAGACAAAACCTCGAGATAAAGAAGCAAAGCCTTCCAAACCCACATCAAGGGAGGCACCAGCCAAGAAATTGGGATATATAAACACGGGGGTGCATCGGAAACTGATGTAGGAGCAGCAGAAGGTCATCCTAGAGGCCCGCCAGGCTGCCACCTCAGGGGTTGTGAAATAATGGCTTCAGAGGCATGGGTCATGATGTCTGTGGGTCAGAGAGGATATCTGCACATCAGCCTTCAAAAGGAGGAATACAGTGAGTTATGTATTTAGCAATAGCAATACATTGTTCTTCGCAGAACAATACCAAATGTGGTGCATGTGCAGATGATCTGCTTATGCAATTCCACAACATGTTTAATAAATAAGTAAATAAATAAATAAAGTAAGTCACATTTGCCTAAAAGGTTTGCAATGTGTCTAAGTAGTTAAATGGTAAAATGGTAAATGGTCTGTATTTGTATAGCGCTTTACTAGTCCCTAAGGACCCCAAAGCACTTTACACGTTCAGTCATCCACCCATTCACACACACATTCACACACTGGTGATGGCAAACTACATTGTTAAGTTATATAAGAGAACATAACAAACTGGCAATGAGGTGTGCCATTATTTGGGCGTGGCTGGTTGAAACACATCCAACTCAACTTGAAATAAATTAAGTCAATGAGATTGGCAGTGTACATTCTGTGGCTCAAAGACTGAAACAGATACTTAATAAAACACGCTCAGATGTTCAAAGAAGGAATTGGCACTCTGAAAAATATTATATACTGGAGGACAACGCATAACCAAGATTTCACAAGGCATGTCCTGTACCTTGTGCTGTAAGTACCCACTTCAGCGGATAGAAGTCATATTCACAGCGGTGGCAGGTGGCAAACACAAAAAATTGATCTCACCCAGACTTACCTTCAGATGGAAATAGAAGAGACATCCAGGAAATATCTGGTGATAAACACTCACCAAGGCCTATATCAGTACAGCAGACTGGTATTTTGTATTGTCAGTGCCCCAGCAGTATGGGGCATTTTCATGAAAATGAAAAGGGGAATCAAGAAGTTGCGTCCCTTCTAATTTTAGCTACCAGGAGCCCAAATGGCCAAGGAATACACCAGACTTCTGAACTGTGGTTAGGCTCTGAACAGGCAGAGCCTTGAAGAAACTGGAATTAAGCCAGGATAAGATAAGAAAGAAAACATATAAGAAAAACATCCTTGTCCATCAAATGGATGAAGACAAAAAATGGAGTGACGGAAGGAGAGGTAAGTGACAGAAGTGACGTAAAAGTAAGTGACAGAAAGGAAATACTGTAAGTGAGACTTCCAGAGACTTGGCAGAAAAAATAGAATGGTAGGTCAGAACTGAGTGGTAGCTCAGAATTAAACAAGCATTTTTTAACCTTCAATTATACCAAAGTATACCAAACCTTTGACAAATAACTATCCATATCTGCTTAATCATTTCCAATACGCTGGAGGACGTCAATGAGAATTTGAACACTCTCCAAGATCTCCAAGGCCCAGAGCACATCTTCCCTAACCAAGAATGAGATGCCATCCTCCAAGTCACCCAGCTGACCCCCTGGTGCAACATCGCTGGCCGGCAAAGACTTTGCCAGCATCCTGAATTAAATCGATAAGCGATTGTCCCGCTTCAACGCAAGGTTGTCCTTAATGGAGATTTTACACTGAGAATTTAAATTCCTGAGGGAATCTCTGAAATTCAGCCATCAGGAAGTGGAATCACTTGCTGCAGTAAAAGCCTCGCTATGGGACTCAGTCGGTCAAATCTCTGAGAATGTCACCCATCTCCACCAGACGCCAGCTTGTGGTGGGGTTCTGCGCGTTTGGGCAGATGGCTACCCGGCCTCAGTCGGGCATAGGGGTATGTGTCGGGGCAAGGTCTGCAGAGCTGCTGCAGCGGAGGCGGACGCGCTGCACGGCATCTGTAATCACGGAATAAAAGACTGAACTAGGTGCCAATCTTTCTAGAGTGAATTAAATTAAATGAGTCTTCACTAATACCATGGGGACGTACACATATTTGGAACAATCCTGATATACTACAGAACAATAATATGATAAACTTCCCAGTTTGGAGTTGTAAATTTCCTTAGGGATTAATCAAGTATTCTGGTGCTGATTCTGAGAAACGAATGAAATACTTGGAACATATAATCGAAGGAAAAGAGTTTTCTGACAGATTAGTTAAACAATATGGGATTATCAAGAATAAAATAAGAATATTTTTAGAATATCAACAAATTAAATCTATATATCTATATAGATTTTTATATTCTGTATGACTCACCCACGATCTGTGGCAGTGAGTAGCCTTCTAGGTCGAGCAGAATACTTCCTGTCTGCAGGCAGGTTCTCAGCTCAAACAGACTATGGAGGGTGAGTGTGGAAACATGAGGCTTGCTCCATCTTTCTCCTCCCTCCTCCACCTTCTCCTCAAACTTCACCCATCTACAACAAGGAGGGAAAATTAAGTTTTACTTCCCGAATTCAAGAAATTGTTACCTTACTGTGTGTATGTGTGTACCTTGCAGACTCTTTCCACTCTAATTCACCACCCTCCTGCTGTAATGTATCCATCTCAGTGAATATTGTTGGTGTTGGAGTGCTATCATCCTCTCCCAGTATGTGGCGCAGCCTTTCAGCAGCAGGGGACACTACAAACAGAGGTCAAACAAGAGACAAAGTTAGCTTCAGATATCCAGTATATCCCAGTCAGCCAGTTTAAGATGATTAATTGTTCATCATATACAGAAATTATATAAATTATATAAAATTTCCATTGAAGGGTGTGTCTAGGCAAATTACATAACATTACATAAATACATAACAACAATATTTTCATGCGACTTCAGGGAGTGAAGAAGTCACTTAGATGAGTGATGAAACATTTCTCCCACTGAAAACGCTACATCCAGATGAACAGAATTGGGAACAATATTTTCATTAAATTCTTATTTTTTTCTGTTGTCATCATGTTTTTAAAGGAGTTTTAAGGGAGTTTTTTTCTGCTTCTGGAGGATTTAAATCCAGTATTTTCCAGAGTATTGGAAGCTCCCAATTGATTACAACACCATCCAGGGGTTAAATATCTTGCTTCAGGTGTTGGTTCACTGCCACAGAGAATAGAATATAAATATATATA